TCACCGTGAATGTACCTACTACCGAGGCATCACCCCGCTGCTCGAGCTGACAAAGATTTAGTATGAAAAGCTCTCAGCAGTCTGAAGATAGAATAGTCGTTGTGAACGAACCAGATGAGATTCATACGTGGTTATTCTTAAGCGGGTAACATCTTGGTGCTACGACGTACAATCGAGTAGTACTGGAAGTTACAGCATCCCTTGCACTTGACATTCGTATCCCAGGTTTTAACGCAGCCGTCGATTCGGTCGCCCGCTGCATTATGTGACGAATCATCCGTCAGTATAGAATGCCTGAAAAGATAGTAGAACTGATGGAAAAACTTCGCAAGGAACATCGGGCAATGTCCAGAAAGAAAGCAGTTTACCAGAACGGCGGTTAAACATCTCATTCGGTCAAAGTGCAGTAATTTCGCCACTGCTGTTCAACACAGAGGAGGAGTACACCATGCAGAAAAGTGTCGTTCGAAGCGAGACTGAAGGCTATAAAATCCGGGAAACAAGGACTTTCATATACTCAGCCAACTGACTTGAAGTATGCGGACGACACTGTTCTGGTGAGCAACAAAGGCGGTAGTCAGAAAACCCTTAATGCCAGCGTGTGTAATATGGCAGAAAAGGTTGGGCCACCAGTCAGCCGTGGCTAGGATAACAGTTGCTACCGACGCCCTGTAGATCAAATATGATGGTGCAACGGTTAAAGAAGCTGAGCGGATCTCAAGTATTTTAATTCTATTACACCGAAAGATGGAAGTTGTGATTGGGACGTTAACTTGGGCACTCATTAGACTTGCAACAGCAAACAGGATGTGAGGATGCATGCATAAGAGAAAGGCCGTTCAAGATTCATAAATGCAAACGTTAACATCCTGAAAGCAGCAATCCTCTCCGTTCTGCTGTATGGTCTCGAAATAGCTGCAGTCCCGAAACACCAAGAACATAAACTGATCTGCTTTCAGCGACACCGTTTGCGCAACATCCTCAAGATACGATGATATCATTGAGCAATGAAAGATCACATACGCAGAATCGTCAAGAGGAACAAGCTCACTGAAGAAGTAAGAGACCGAGAACTGTTCGACGAAGTGGCTCAAAAGTCAGAAGCCGTCACAAAGACGTTCCTCACGGGATGCGACCACGGAGGAAGGAAGAAAACGGAGCCAGACTAAAAGATACAAAACCCATTAGAATCTGATCTGCTTAAGACAATAAGTATATCCTTTGCCTAAGCAGTTAAGGCTCAAACTAATTCACGGAGTTCCTTCCTCCGCGTCAAGCGTCATTACTTTGGGATAGATGAAGCAGGCATTACGCCCTTCTCCATAACACAATGACAAGTAACAACAAATGAAAACACAATTGACTTAGTTGACACTGCAAGCATTTAAGTAACGATACGTGAATCGATAACGCTTAACAAACATGCGCATCAAGGTTATAAAAGTAGATTTGCTGTAAAATGTTTGCAAAAGTATGAAAATTTTGGATGTGCTGTGCGATAAACACTGTTTGGGGCTATGATACAAAAGGTAGGTTGCTTTGAGTATGTATTTCTGCATACCAATACCGACCGGTCAGCGTGCAGTGACAAATTATACAGAAACCACAAATTCTTGAGTTAAGCATTAGTGGTCTTTCTAAGGCCCAAAAAACAGAATCCCGCTTTTTCTTAGTGCCTCTAAATATCGAATGAATATATGCTTTTCTTCTAGAGTATAATGCAGAATCGTAGAACAGGAAATGTATTTCGTCATTAACAAGGGGAACCTACTAAATTTCTACGAACCGTGACTGTGAACTTTCGGATTCTATCGCACGACCCTGGTGAACAGCGATGAAATGAAAACAAATGGGCAGGTGATTAATCTCGGTTTCTATACAGCGAATCACAAAACAACACCTTCAGCTGCTTGTATTGGTCATTGGCGGCGAAGGTCGATCGGATGGCCACGTTTTTGAAAGCGATGTACTCCTTGCGTACGGCGTTCCTCCGTTCGGCTGCGAGAAAAGTCATAATGGTCGATTTTTCAGAGAGGGACTTGGTGCGCTCCATGTCTTTCTTCTTCAGCCGGGAACATGCATCGCGCAGGCCGTCGAGCCAGCTTTGCCGTAATTCCAAAATTTCGGTCACGGCGGCGGCTATGCTGCAGTTGGTCGACGATGCCCAAGATCCTGAGGTGAGACCCGATTTTGACAGTTGACCGTCATCGATCAGACTTAGTAGGTGCTTTCGAAATTTGTCCATTGTAGTAGCCACACAGCCTTCGTTCGCTTGAGAGTAGAACGAGGACAGTTCGTCGATGCCCCGTTGCAGCATAACCAGGTGAGAGTGGTCGGCGGCGACGAACGCTTCTACCAACAGCTTGCCCTTCGGCGTAGTTAACAGGTACGTGATCATCACCCGACGCTTCTCATACAATAGACGATGATTGGAAGGAGATATCGAAAACGCTGACGATGACGAACCTTGCTGGTCCATATCGCCCACAGGGTGCAACAGAAACAGCAAACAGTTTTTAATCGAATGGTAGAAATGGCCATAGTAGCGCTTGCAACGTCTGAACCGCTTCGTAAAAAAGCACTTGTCGGGAATTGACGTCAGCAACGTTGAAAAGTAGTCCTCGAAAAACGTCAGTTCTTCTGAGGCACATTCGTGAGAGGTCGGAACGAACAGAGTGAAATTGTGACAAATGTCGAATACCTCCCTGAAATAACCTTTCAGCTGTGATTCTGCGGGAATCGCGGCAGAAAGAACGCTGTCCTCCCTTGTGGTCGATCTGATGGAACCACATCCTGTAAATAGCACAAAGATTCTCAGATACGAAAGTCACCGTACAGCATATACGTCCCACCTGTTGCACAAACCGCATCCATTGTCAAAAGCG